GTACCTTCTGGCCAGGCGCGGTGGCTCACGCCTGTAATCCCAGCACTTTGAGAGGCTGAGGTGGGCGGATCATGAGGTCAGGAGATCAAGACCATACACACACACACACACACACACACAGAGAGAGAGAAAAAAAAAAAAAAAAAAAAAAAAAAAAAAAAAAAAAAAAAAAAGGAGAAGAGGCTTCACAGAAGAGACTCCTGAGCTGAGTTTTTCAATACTCATGCAGAATCCACCAGACAGATCGGCGGTGGGTGAGGGAGGCTATTTCAGGCACAGGGAACAGAATGAGCAAAGGCCAGGAGGGGCCGACACACGAAGCACATTTAGGAAAATCTAAGCGACTTGGTGTGATTTGAGAGTGAACGCCTCGGTGGGAGTTGTGCCTGGGTCTCTGATCCTCTTCTCCTCCCACGGTGTCTGGGGCTGGGGGCCGGTGGTAGCAGCTATCTGTCTATCACTGGGATGCATTTATCTTCTAAGAGAGGGGAGATGGAGTAGGAACCGTCCAAAGCCCCCTTTCTTGATGCCAGTGCTCGCTGCACTCCCAGCCCAACGCAAAGTCATCAGATCTCAGATCTGCAAGATCAACCAGCATGGACAAAAGTGGTTTGTGCACAGGGAAGGGGTGACCTCAGCCTGGCTCCTTACACATTCACGGGATTGGCTCAGCAGGGATAGGCATGTCAACCGCATGCCCCAATGGCTCCTGTTCTCTCTCTCCTGTTTGCTGTGGGGGAGCTTTGTGAAGGGCCTGTCTCCACATCCTCACCTCCCACTCACCGTCCAGCCCCCTCCAATCTGGCTCCCACCCCCTCACTCCACGAAGCAGCTCTCGGCAGCCTGGCACGGCACCCACCCGCCTCCCGAATCGCTCTCTCCCCAGCTCCCACAGCCACTTCTCCTGGTCCTGTGCGCGGATGCCGTCTCTGGTTCACTACAGGGCTGTCTTCCCTTCTGTGACATGCAGCTCCTCATCCTCCGTGGCCACGGGGCCGAGGGCTCCCATATTAGAAGAATCCACTCCACTCCACCCGATGCCATATGCGGTTGCTTCCTTGGTGTTTCTACTTGGATTCTCAAAGGCACCTCAGATCAATATGTCCAAGACTCATTCATGATATTCACGCCCCCAAATGCAATCTTATTTCTGTCTCTCCCTCCATAAGTGGCTCTGCTTGTGCAAGCTGGAAACCTGCAGTCCTGACGGACGCCCCTGCTGCTTCTTCACCACCCATGACCCTCCTGACCACTACAAGCCCAGGGCCTTCTCTTTATGTGTCCTTCTCTTTTCTCTGTCTCTACTTCCATCGTCCTACTCTGTGGCTGCAACAGGACTTACCTGGGTGAATCCAGCCAGCAACTTTCTTCGTGGTCTTTGCACACCCATTTTTGTCCCCTATAAACTGCTCCCACCCCAGAAGCTGGAATGCCTCCTCAATATGCTAAAGTCATCAGGGTAACGGGACCCCCATCTTTCTGCCTAAAACACTGGAGTGGCTTCCCGTGGCTCTCAGGATAAAGACCCAATTCCTCATCACAGCTTCAGAGTCCCACCGTGTACCCCGGGCCCCTTCCCCTGCACGCAGCATCCCCTGATCGTCCACGGCTCCCCAGCCTGGCCTTGCTCTGGCCTCTGCAGCTCTGACCCACTCTTCTCTCTGCTGGAGTGCTGCCTGACACCTTCCCCACCGTCTCCCCTGCCAAGCTGAGCAGCATCATGCCTCAGATATCCTCACATCTGTTCTCCCTCCCGGTGTCACCTGGGTGCCGAAAGGGACTTCTGAGACAAGTCCGGTCAGGAGGTTTCATGCTGTTGGTGGGGCCTTTATGGGTGGAAGGACTCCTTAAAGGTTGCCAAAGATGCAGATGGGGTTTTGGGGTAGGGCCACCACTATGCCGGTGATTATTTGTATTGCCAAGTAATCATTTCTAACCCATGTGATTCTAGAAATAACCAAAGTAACCTCAAGGTGTTAATATCTAGAGGTCTCTTTTTTTTTTTTTTTTTTTTGAGACAGAGTCTCATTCCGTCACCAGGCTGGAGTGCAGTGGTGTGATCTCAGTGCACTGCAACCTCTGCCTCTCAGGTTTAAGCGATTCTCCTGCCTCAGCCTCCCTAGTAGCTGGGATTACAGGCACACGCCATCATGCCCGGCTAATTTTGTTTTGTATTTTTTGTAGAGACGGGGTTTCACCATGTTGGTCAGGCTGGTCTTGAACTCCTGACCTTGTGATCCACCCACCTCAGCCTCCCAAAGTGCTGGGATTACAGGCGTGAGCCACTGTGCCCGGCTGAGGTCCCTTTT